GGTTGCGGTCGTATGTGGCTGACTGTACATGTGATTGCATGTGTATGAATGCATGTGAGTGTAAATGTGCGGTTGTGTGCGTATGTGGGTGTCTGTACACGTGATTGCATGTGTATGAATGCATGTGAGTGTAAATGTGCGGTTGTGGGCGTATGTGGGTGTCTGTACATGTGATTGTATGTGTATTTATGCATGTGAGTGTAAATGTGCGGTTTTGGGCGCATGTGGGTGTCTGTACATGTGATTGTATGTGTATGCATGCATGTGAGTGTAAATGTGCGGTTTTGGGCGCATGTAGGTGTCTGTACATGTGATTGTATCTGTATGTATGCATGTGAGTGTAAATGTGCGGTTTTGGGCGCATGTGGGTGTCTGTACATGTGATTGTATGTGTATGTATGCATGTGAGTGTAAATGTGCGGTTGTGGGCACATGTGGGTGTTTGTACATGTGATTGTATGTGTGTGTATGCATGCATGCGTGTGTAGGTGGGTATGTATGGAATATGTGTGTGCATGTATGTCCATATATATGTGTGTGTGTGTTTTCTGTTTGTGCATGTATGTCTATGTATGTATGTGTGTGTGTTTTATGTTTGTGTATGTATGTAGATGCGTGTATGTATGTATTACGTATGTCTGTATATGAGTGTGCATGTATGAGAATGTAAGAGTATGTATACGTGTGTGTGTGAGTGTGTACAATTGTGTACACATGATGTATTATGCATTATTCTATAATGTATATTTCTTTTTTATATCCATAACATGCATTATTGATAAAGGCATTGGTACTCTGAAAAATGAGTGCTTAGAAGGGAAGAATGTCAGACGGGCTTGCGTGCCCAATTTGCAACCCTTAAAAAAAAAGTGTGTTCGTTCGTTCGTTCGTTCAGGTCTCATCTGTCACCGTATGTTCAACGCCTATATGAAAACACTTATAGATTCGCTCCCACCAACTCACTCCCGCCTCCATCATTGTTTTTAAATAGTGGGTTTCTGTATCACCAGCCTGTGAACGAGGCAAAGGCGGAATATATCATCAACCGGTTGTCAAACACAATTTTTCTAATTCCAGTACGTTCTCAGAATATTTTGACCTACATGGTTCCCAACGCTCAGTTATAATAGAACCATTGCATATTAGATTCCCATCTGCAAAAAAGCGTATTCAAATTCCAAAGAGTACAGGTATTACCTTTTGCCTGCGTTTCCAAGTTGTCTAGACGCCTCTGATAAGCTGCCCCTTGTCAGTGCTGCTTTCTGAATAATTTATTGATTTATTTTTGCATTCACTTTTGCAAGACTGCGTTTTGATTTATGTAGTCTTCAAGATCGCATTTTGATTGCTCATTCATGTTATCGTATGCGTGTTTGTGTTTTGCATGTTATTTCTTGTTGTTGTTTTGGTTGTTAAGTCGTTATTTCATGTTTTTTGTTGGTTTGTTCCCTCATTTAAATATTTTCTGATTCTCACAAAACATTAAAAATAGCGGCCAGATTTGATTTTAGCTGGTTTCAAATCTTGGATAACCGGAAAGGCTAACCCGGTCAACAAATGCCCGCAGAAGTCGGATGTGTTGGCCGAAAGGTGCAAATATCGCAGCCGTGCTGTAAACGGACACAACGCAATTACATCTTCGGATAAACGCAGAAGAAGAAGAAGAAGAAGAAGAAATCTTGAATTATACTTTATTATTTTGTTTCTCCTATAATTGAAATAATCGAATGCATTCGCCATTAGGGATCACTTTGTTCTTTTGCCTTAGCAGTGACAATCAGTACACATTTATTCTGTATTTACGATAATGTACATTAAAATTTCGCATATTCTAAATATTTGTAATAAATACACATCAGTTGTCAACTGCACAGAAATGTAGGAGAACAGAAAACAAGAAGACGTTTTCTTCACATTCCGTGATATGCCACTAGTGTCAACAGCATATTTTTTTTTTTAATCCAGAAACCATGAGTTGTTGACCCTTTGGCTCAGTACTATGGATATCGCAGCCCTTCGGCCTTGATTCCATGATAGATACCGTAAATTTGGGAGAAATGTGGCTTTTCTGCCTACCCCCGGGCGTGAACTCGGACCACAAGGATTTCGTCACTCGGTCACCGCGCAGTTATGTTTAGTCAACTACGCTAGCGAGCCGGGCGTCCACAGCAAATGAGCCCATGCAATACTACATGGTTGATCTCCCAACAACATCGAAACATTACTTTGTAAACATGGCAAAAAACATAGTTATCCTATACTATTGCGATAAACTTGGGAGGGGATAGTTTAGCGTCTCTTACGATTACACTTTCCCGAATCTGGTCTGTAGCCTTATCCCATGCATACCTTATGACCAAGCTATCTAGACATGCGTCTCTGCTATCTAGACATGTGTCTCTGCTATCTAGACACGTGTCTCTGCTATCTAGACATTAAGTCTGCTATCTAGACATGTGTCTCTGCTATCTAGACACGTGTCTCTGCTATCTAGACATTAAGTCTGCTATCTAGACATGTGTCTCTGCTATCTAGACATTAAGTCTGCTATCTAGACATGTGTCTCTGCTATGTAGACATGTGTCACTGCTATCTAGACACGTGTCTCTGCTATCTAGACATATGTCTCTCTTTTCCACTTGCTTTTTTTTTTGTTTTCGAATATTGTGATTAGGACAAAGTTACTGGCGGCACAGATGTGGCTTTTTAGAAGCATGCAAAGAATATCAGAGAGTGATCGGAAAACAAAAACACCAGTCCTCATCCGGACAGATGGAAGTCGTAAACTTAATAAAACAAGTGCACGCAACAGTCAGTGATTTGTCACCATGTTATAACAAGGTATGGACTCGAGGACTTGGTAACAATTGACAAGATGTGTGGTAAGAGAGCAAGAAGAAGACAAAGAGAAAAGTAGCTTGATGACTAGGACAGATGCGTGGAGCGCAAAGAGATAAGTAGCTTGATGACTTGGACAGGTGGGTTGAGGGCAAAGAGATAAGTACTTTGATGACTTGGACAAATGGATTGAGGGCAAAGAGATAAGTACCTTGATGACTTGGACCGGTGGATGGAGTGCAAAGAGATAAGTACCTTGATGACTTGGACAGGTGGGTTGAGGGCAAAGAGATAAGTACCTTGATGACTTTTACAGATGGATGGAGGGCAAAGAGATAAGTACCTTGATGACTTGGACAGGTGGATGGAGGGCAAAGAGATAAGTACCTTGATGACTTGGACAGGTGAATGGAGGGCAAAGAGATAAGTACCTTGATGACTTAAACAGGTGGATGGAGGGCAAAGAGATAAGTACCTTGATGACTTGGACAGGTGCATGGAGGGCAAAGAGATAAGTACCTTGATGACTTGAACAGGTGGATGGAGGGCAAAGAGATAAGTACCTTGATGACTTGGTCAGGTGGGTTGAGGGCAAAGAGATAAGTACCCTGATGACTTGGACAGGTGGATTGAGGGCAAAGAGATAAGTACCTTGATGACTTGGACAGGTGGATGGAGTGCAAAGAGATAAGTACCTTGATGACTTGGACAGGTGCATGGAGGGCAAAGAGATAAGTACCTTGATGACTTTTACAGATGGATGGAGGGCAAAGAGATAAGTACCTTGATGACTTGGACATATGGATGGAGGACAAAGAGATAAGTACCTTGATGACTTTTACAGATGGGTGGAGCAGGACAAAAAATGGTGAACTGATCCGTGATTCTTGGAAGGATGTGAGATGGAGAAGCATGATAGCTTACACTTTTAAACATGATGATGATGAGTTAAGATACACACATGTTCCTTAGACATGGAACAGAGAATCAAGGCGTGAATGTTAGTAACCAATGAGGCAGAAATAAAAAAATAAGATATACACGTGAGAATAGGAAGAAAAACAACCTAAACATGCGCTGCTCAAGAACTAGAGATGCAAACGGCACTGCTGGAGATCATCATTATCATCATAGTTTGCTTTTGCCATTAGGCGTCATGACGAAGAAGGGATTTGCGATCAAACGTACAGCAGGTGGCGCCGGTCATTAACATTCCGTCTGGGTATAAACTATATTCAGTGTCATCGGTCCATTGTCTACTTTAGGGCACTTTTTCTCTGACATCAAATCCTTTCATAGTGTAGTTTTTGTCTTGGTAGCTTTTGTCACCTGGCGGCGCAGCCACATGTAAACCATTTAGGGAAGGGGGCCTTAGCGGACCCCCCCCCCTCTCCACACACACACACATCCGAAATGCTCTTTTAATCGTTTGCATGATTGCCCTATCATCCGATTTTCACATAATCTGTGAATTATTACTTGGCGTGGGACACTGTCTGTTGGCAGCCGATTCAAATGGTCGAACCATTCCACTTTTTGTTTTCTAATAAAATTAACGTTATTACTATCCCTCAACCGACCTTAAACCCACCCACTGTATTTCAGATTAAAAATGTTTTAATCCAACCTCTCCTAAACAAGTCGAATGCTTTTCTCAACAACTCATGTTGGGTGTGATTGTTTCCTTGTCTCTGAAATTGTCAAAATGTGCTTGGTCGCACAGAGTTCGTAAAAAGATCGCGACACAATGTGCCTGTTAATGTGATTATCAACTGATAGTTTTTTTTTTTTTTCTTAGTACTGGTGCCCCAGTATTGGTATGAACATGCTGTTTGTAATCTGTTTCTTGGTAGACATACTTATGTTAGAATCTTAATTTAGTTGTCTTTTGGTATATAAGTGCACAGGCTCATTAGCATCTTGTTTTTATTTCCTATTTTTTACGAATGAAGTCAAAACAAGAACATTCGACAGAAAGGGAACATGTTTACTTAGAATTACAATACAACCATAATGGACTTCATATAATTAGTAAATCCTATAATAATAATAATATTGGATTTACAGTTATAGCATTGTAGTATTATTATTATTATTATTATTATTATTACACAGGTATACTCGTATGGTATTTGCAGCATCGTTAAGAGAACTGCCAAAAC